TATTGAATTACCTTGGTTATGCTGTCTGCTTTCACTAGATAGAATTTGTTCAAATCTTGGATAGTGAATGAATCAGTTGATTTTTTATTTATTTTTTTGCAATCCCCCCTCGTTTTTCATCATTTTTTGTTTCATAGAAAGAACAGTTCTGTACCATCTCATGCTTTCTGGGCAGATAATGTCAAAGTGATTTGGTGGGATGTTTCATCCTATGTGTGTCTGAATTTATTTAGAATGCTGTGAATTCAGAAGGGGCATCTTAGGAAATGTAGGAAAGGGAACGATTCTGTGTTGATTTTCGTTTTGCTTTTTTTTTTAAAAAAAAAAAGTAACTTTTCCTTTGGAAAGTAAAATATTTTGAAATGTTTCCATGTTTTCTATATTCTCCCACGTGTTTCATAGACAGTGTGACAGTGCCTGTTTTAGTGGTGCTACATTTAGCCTGATTCTGCTTCCTTTTGTGGCATTAATTTTATTTCTATATGAATACCTGATTCTGCATTCTGTGTTGGTAGGATTAATTCTCTAACTTCTGCAATTGTTTTTTTTTTTTAAATGGTAAATAAAAAGTTTTGCTATACTTCGTTAAAGAAACGGTCTTGTTTCTGGGAAGAAATATTCTGTTTGTTAGTAACTTGCTCCTTTGGCTTTTCAAAGTGTTTTGCTGTATTTCTGCCAGACATTTTTAAAAAGCAACAATGTCAGTAATAATAATGGATCAAAGGCAATCTGTTTACAATGAGATTTGTTTTCTTTTACATGAAAATGCTTCATCTCCAAACAATAAAGAACTTATTTATATTTTAGCTGATTTTTTCAATCAAATCTGAACTAGTTGCCATAAAAAAACAGATCAATAAAAATTCTTTTATCAAGGATAGGTATGGTGGGAAGATAATTGGCAAAGATATGCGTGGTATCTGAAATATATTATTGCATCAGACAATGAAACCTTAATTAGTTGCATTTAAAGAAAAGTACAAATTTGTATTGCTTATTTTTTTTTAAGAGGTGTAAATGGATAACTAAATAAAAGCACTCTTGTTTCTAAAGACCTCAGACCCTTGATATTCACACAACGCTATCTGGAGGGCCAACCTAACAGACAAGTTCTTTAATACCTCTTCATTTATTTGATACTCTACCATATTGAGCAACTGTTTTCTCCGTTCTTTCTCTTTAATGAATGTGGGGCAGAGAGTGTCAACTATTTTCTTGTACTATCATGTCACATTCATTGTACCATTGCATCATTATGAGGATTGCCAGCAGAAACTTTCAAACCCTGAAGGTGTGGGAGGGAATCAAACATAATAAAATCACAACATTTTTGGGGGGTGGGATTTGAGTTAGTGAGAATCTACAGTCTGATATGTTGTGGGCGAATAATTCTGGTATCTACCTAGTAGTTTGTTTCAACTTTGCAGGCCAAACACCTTCTGTGCATCGACAAAATATGGCTTTAAAACCTGCCTGGACCTGAATTCAAGCTGCTTTGTGACTCTTATTCTGTATATTCTCTCTGCTATCAGAGAGAGATACTACTATTCTTTTGCTTCATAATGATAAACTCTAGAACGTCTTCCTAATGTGAGATTTCTCCAGAAAAGGTGGATTGTTGTTGCGACTGCATTGAAGATGCTTTAAAAGAAAATACAAAAAAAAAAAAAAAATCAGCCTAGGGAAGGACTGATAATTGTGATGACAGCAACAAGTTTTCACAAAGATTATACCTCTTTGCATCTCTATTTGTCCTCTGAAGTTAGCATCTGCATTGGGAGGAGATGTCTAAAATATGGAAGTTCAAGGGATATGAATTAATTTCATTCCCGTATGCATAAATTAGCTTCAGAAAATGGGGGAGGGGATCCTTAATTCTGCAGCAAGGAAGGAAAAGATGAAACTTCATTCCCATGGGCATTGACAACTTAGCAATGAAAAAAAAAATCTACATTTTTAAGAATTATTTAAAAAGTTAAGATACATTAATTTGTTCCTCCTTTGCAATAAGCTTCTATCTGCTAATTATTAAGTTCCCATCTGTTTTCCTCCTCTGAGGTGATTTTAGTGACAGCAGTGCTGCTTTTGCAGTTAGCAAAGAGATGTTGGATTCAAATACTGGCTCTTTTTTTTTTTTAAAGTCAGGAGACTAAGGTTGTTACCTCTATCCTTATTGAATGAAAAATAAAGCCTCCTTGAATGTAAAGGAGTCATGAAGATGCACAACCTCTATCCTATTCTTCTTTACCTCCAATACCACTGCAATCCAGAGGTGCTGATAGGTAGAGAATAGCAAAACTGTGAGGTTCGTGGTGCTCTCTGAGCTTAGCTGTTTTCTTGCAGATGCTCCATAGCAAAATTACAGTAACAATGGACCTTGTTTATTTAATTCATCCATGGATCCTGGAAGTGGACAGCAAACCTAGTTGGAATTGGCCCTGCAAGTGGCCTGGTTGGTTAATTGTCCCTGTCCCATAATGATCAGAGAAAAAGACCATAATCAAGGTGAAGTGGAGATCTCTAAATCTTCTGAACTACTTATACTGATGTATTATTCTTAGATATGCTAGTGTATGCATGATTGTAATAAGCAAATGTCAATAATATTAAATATTAAATTTGGTAACCTAGTGTTCTTAACTGTTGATTAAATAAATGTAAAAATGTGCCTGAAAAATAGTATCTATCATATCTTGCTCCTGTACCCCATTTCTGTGTCCACAGGTTTAGCTTGTCAATAATGCTTTGTTCTGTATTTTTTTGCTTCATAATTTACATTCCTCCTAATGTGCAGTTAATAGAAACAAATAGCAGGAGTATCCTTGTTAATTGGACCTTAATATAGGAAAGTCTCCATTTGGGGGAGACTCCACTCCTGTATAAATGGTGGGGTATTTGCATAGTAGCTCTTCCAGAAAGTATTTAGCAAGTTCAGTTATCTCTGTGATTTCTTTAAGAGAGAAGGTGATGTACTTATAATTGTGGTTCATAAGATTGTATTGAGTTTGTTGCAGTAGTTGACAAGTTCAGTATGGAAATATTCTGTGAACAGTTTTTTGAGCATCATCCTGTGATCACGCATGTTGAAAGAGTAGATTTCCATCTCCATTTCATGAAAGAAACCAAAAGATGGGTGGGTGACCCACAGGCAGTGGTGGGATTCAACCAGTTCGCACCAGTTCAGCAGGACCGGTAGCTAATTTTTGGTTGCCCAGGCCCAGAATGGACTTCTGGAAGCGGCATCCACACAGAGAACCGGTTGTTCCCATATTTGAATCCCACCGCTGCCCACAGGGTTAGTTCCACAAACTGGCTGTGAATGGAGACGGAGCAAATATATCGTGATGAAGCAGAAATATTGTGATACAATGGCTCTTTATTATTTGAATACATATAGTTTTGACTATAGTCATGTGGTTAACAATGCATCTAATTTGTCAGGGGAAAAAAAAGGCTTTACACAAAAACGGGGATTAATACTGTACTGTTGCTTGATTTATTCCACGCTTGTTTCCTAGGCGTACACCCAGTATTGTTACACATACCCCTCAAAGTGCAATGCAACAAATGGTTGTGTTCTAGATCCTTTTTGGCTAGGGGAAAAAAAAAAGCAATTACTGAAGTCTGTAGAATTTTGTAAGGGGCCTCTAGAGTTAGAACCCAAGGAGTAGTTCACAAGGTTTGCAGCCTCCGTTTCTCTTATGGAGATCCTGATCTCATTCTTTCAGGTATTATGATGTGTGACAGACTGCAGTGGAATCCTCTTCTAAAAAGATCCTGCCTGATTTTAATACAAGGGCACCTATAAGCAAGTATATTACTGCTTCCTTAAAGGGGATCCAGTTCCGAGTCATCTATGAAGTAGACTTGTCCTTTGGGAAAGACTCCTTTTTGACTACTTGATAATTGCCATGGACACCTCCAGCCTTTTAGAGGCAGTAATGATGCAGACCAGTCACGGTGGGGATAAAATGTTCACTGACCTTTCTAAATTCTCCCCGCTCCCAAAATCTGCGCTGCGCACTTCCATGTTGCCCCGTGTTGGTCTGCTCACCCAGAGAATTGTGCCATGTATTTTTCAACCAGGCCATGGCAGAAAGGACAGGGAAAATTACAGATTGAAATAAAAGAAGCCCGTTTTTACCGTTTTGTTGACAGGATGATGTAAAAAAAAAAATGAACGTGAAAGTGAAATCAATCCATTTTTATTCAGATCTGATCTCATCCTAGTTGGATACATGCCATTTGAGAATAGTTCTGGAATGCCTTATGTTTGATGGGTGGCGTGCTTTACTCTTGGCTCCGTCTGATGCTTCTTTTCCTTCTTCTAATGGAAAAGGGTTTACTCCATTTCAGGTCCTGCACAATGAAACTAAATCGCCAACTGTGAACCCAACTGGCTTCTGTCCTCTTCTCCTGTCATCCTCCCCTACATATCTTGATTGTCATCTTCCACTGCTTTTTATTTAACTTAACTGCCTTTCATTAACATCAGCCAGAGGGTGAATACAATTCTGCATTCAGGGCTTATTTTTTACAAGCTGGCTTGGGGAATATGTTTTCAATTTGGGCAACATTTTGGGACATGGAAGAATATTTTGAGATGTCTGATTCAGTGGCTTACAGCTGAGAACTGGGGTGGGGTGTGTGAAAGGGATCTGAGTTTTCATCAGCAATCAAAATGCTATTTCTGAGCTGGGTGGCTTTGATAGTTCGCATAGCCCATAACTTACCTTTCCTCAATCTGCACCTTTGAGATGTGTTGGACTACAACTCCCATAATCCCAAACCAGCTGTAACCTAAGTGCAGCAGGTTAAGGAACAGTCTTTAGCCGATGTTTTGAGGGGTGGGAAAATGGGAACAGATAACATTTACTCAATGAATTCCAACTTGTAATTTTCCATTTTCTTTGCATCACCAACACTGAGATGATATAGATATACAGATATATACTTGTCTTCTATTCTACCTCTGTATGTGCTGTTTTTTTGCTTTGTAGTAACACAGGTTGGTGCATCCCAGGGACATAACATGTGTCCGGACCCTGGGATTCCAGATCGGGGCAAAAGAATAGGCAGTGATTTCAGGTAAGCATCTCTTTTTCTTTCTCTTCATGCTTCATGCTTACATGTTGAGCTACAGCCCTCATACATTTCAGCCAACACAGGTGTGAAGTTTGGTAGTACATTTTAGAAGGGAGAGGGTATTAGTCAAATCTGTATACTCTCCCTGGTGTTCGTCAGAGCACCATCATTTAATTTAACCCGCATTATCAGAGACAGTGTTTGATTCCATCAGATAACAATTGGTGAAGACGAGGGAATGATTAATGAAGGCTACAGACTGCAGTGCCCTGTTCCAAGCTTTTCACAGAAGCAGCTGGCTGTCCATTGTCAAAAACAGGATGCTGGCATTCTGAAGCTTTGATTTAATCAGCAAGGCTTTTATGTCAAGAAATAAACAGCCTGCCTATGATGCACAATACTGATGTCATAATATCCTCTCGTGTCTCTGTGTGTTCTCTCTGGGGTGATGTGTGTGTTTTTCTTAAGATGGTCCTTTGCATAAAAGTGAATTGGTTCAAGGAGAGAAAGAAAAGAAAGAAAGAAAGAAAGAAAGAAAGAAAGAAAGAAAGAAAGAAAGAAAGAAAGAGAGGGAAAAAGAAAAAGAAAGAAAGAAAGAAAGAAAGAAAGAAAGAAAGAAAGAAAGAAAGAAAGAAAGAAAGAAAGAAAGAAAGAAGAAAAGGGACAAGGGGAGGGGGAGGTGAAAGGAAAGGAAGGGAAAGAAAGGGAAAGGAAAGGAACAACTATTTGAAAATGCTTTTTTCAAGTTAGCATGTGACTTCTCAGTATTTTCAACCAAGATTCTTTATTTGGCACATATTTCATGACAATTAAAATAGATGGCTTTTAGGACATTTTACCATGTCATTTCACTTCTGTTTATTGGAAAACAAAATTGGTTGACTTCAGCTGCATTTAACTTCCAAGGTGGCATGTTTAAGACAACAGCTCAAACCTGGGTTCACTTTGGCAGGAGTCCATAGTAAAGTATGACTCTACCATTCATCACTTGCTATGTCACTACGAACATTTTCTGGTGTAACTTCATTAGGTCTACATCAGCTTTGGCAGGATGTGATCAGTGAGCTCCTAGAGACCATTCATCTTGCAAGAACATCAGAAGACGAGAACACAGATTTGTTAAAGGAATGTTGGCCTTCCATCAGCTCTGTGGCATGTCCCATCCAGCACTAATTTATCCTGTGTTTCTGGGATGTATTACTTGTGATTTTTTTTTTTTTTGAGTGCTCTGGATTGTTGAGAGTCAAAATATTTATTATCATTATTATATTGAGAAGAGCAAGGGGCAAAAGTATTGCCTTAAGACTTGTTGAGTCATAAAATACCAATTTCATCCCTTTTTTAAAAAAATTCAGCACCATAAATAAGGCTGTTTTTTTCACCATTGGGGTTGGGTTTAGGGGACAAAATGGATATCTTATGTCTTGCACCCATTTCATTACCTTAATTCTCTATGCACTCAAATGGCCTGAAAGAATTGGCTCCATCAGATGGCTGATGTAGTAACGTCTGTTGAAAGCCAAAAAAGTCAAAACCGAGTCTTCAGCCACAATCAAGTTGTCTACTCTTGGCCTAATTACAAAACGGTGTCATAGGAGGCTGGTTATTATTTATATTTTAATTCTATTTCATTTCTTTTAATCATGATAATAACGTGCCAACTCTTGAGGAATCTTCCAAATGGTGTCTACAAATTCTAGAAGATTTTTAAATGCATTGTGGCCAGGATTGCTATATTCTGTAGTTGCATTTCATATACAGTGTTCTAATTCTGATTAACTATACACCCTAAAATGTGATTTTCATTTCCGTGTGAAAAGGAGTCCATTGGGCAGGTTAATCAACTGTTGGTTATGTGGAATATTATTTATTTTTGTTGAATTTCTCACTGATGAAGCCCCCATCCCCAAAATACATAGATACACCCACGCACATATACACCCACAGAAATGTACACACAAACTTAGATAATAGATAGATAGATAGATAGATAGATAGATAGATAGATAGATAGATAGATGATAGATAGATGGATAGATAGATAGATAGATGGATAGATAGATAGATAGATAGATAGATAGATAGATAGATAATGGATGGATGGATGGATGGATAGATAGATAGATGATGGATGGATGGATGGATGGATGGATGGATGGATGGATAGATAGATAGATGATAGATAGATAGATGATAGATAGATGGATAGATAGATAAATGGATAGATAGATAGATAGATAAATAGATAAATAAATAGATAGATAGATAGATAGATAGATAGATAGATAGATAGATAGATGATGGATGGATGGATGGATGGATGGATAGATAGATAGATAGATATTCCCACAGGCTCTCGCAAAACAGTCCAGCCAGGAAAGTCACTGTTTTATGTCTTAGCACTACCTGTGTTTTTCCAAGAAAGATCCCATCTTGCCAGATTGATAGAATTGTAGCTTCATCTTTAGCTTCGGAACCTTCTGCAGGTAATAAGAAAGGTGTTTGTTTTGTCATGCTCTTCCACAACCCCATTTTGAAATCATTGCACCAGAAGAAGGGAAGCTGTGCCAGAACCTTCCTTTCTCTTCTTTACAGCCCCAGGAGCTTCCTACAAGCTGGTTAACAAATTTAAAAGAAAGGATTGCCAAATATCAGTGGCACATCCTCTCAACAATTTACAGGAGGAAGGGAGATATATGAAAATTGTAATGGGTGCCCTACGTAGATTTTACACACCTGTGCTTTAACATGAGAAAATAAAAACCAACTTATTTGGCTGGTGCCCCCCAACAGTTTTCCCTATGTGGGATAGCTCTACATATCCAGTGATCCTTTCAGTATTGGGGAAAAGTGTATAGTCTCTGGCCAGCAAAAATTTTCTCTGCTCTTTCAAATCAGTTAGGATGTTTTAAGAAAAAGAAAAGGGACCAATTGGGGGGTCCTAAAGGTGCTTTTCCAAGAGGCAACTGAACTTTCTTGTTTTTCTTTCAAGATGTTTCGCTTCTCATCCAAGACAAACAAGAAGGTCCAGTTGCCTCTTGAAAAAGCACCTTTGGGATAACCTTGACCTGGATGACTGAGAATCTCCATAGACAACTGGGGGCTAAGACATGCTATTGAATGGAGGTTACTTGCAAATACGTTATTTGCACAAAGATTTTACATATCACATGGACTTTTTGTCTTGTTGATCCTTCAGTGAAGGACTGAAAGTGGATTTGAATCCACATATCTCACATGGTTTAATCCATAATCACATGTATTATTTTTAAGGTTTGTAGCTGTGATAGTCTTGTGTGTGTGCGTGTGTATGTGTGTGTTGCCACCGAATGCTAGCCAATCTATTACCACACAAATTACATAAAACCCATGTTTTGGATTTGATGAAGTGGACCAAGATCCCCAAATGCTTATGTGCTGATAAATCTGTTAATCTTTAGGGTGTCACAAGCTTTTTTGATTAAAGCTTTATTTGCCACTCTTATGAGAAAATCATTTTAGGTTGGATGGTTGACATATTCATGTTGATCAGTTGACGATGGCCTTGTAACATGTCTTACTTTGCTCCTGGGAACTGAACAACTGCAGATCCAGTAAGAGCATATGTATCACTTCTAATGCAGTGCCTTTGGTGGAACAGGGTCACACATTACTGCTGAGAAAACACAACTATCATATATGTGTGAATCAGTCCTGTATGTGTTTCCTTCCAGTCCTGCCAGCTGCATTTACCATCACTTTGTCACCTGTTGCCTTTTGTGCATAAGAAGCAGATCAGTCTCACTGTGTTATGCACGTCAGCAAGGCAGAGATGGTGGGGAGGGAGCCAGAGTGCAGATCAATAATTAATTTTATGTCTCTGTAGATAACTTTTTTTTTTTTTTTTTGCTAGAGGCATATATTCACTTTTTTCCCACTCTCCATGAAATCAGGGCTGAGACTAAAGGAATAATTTTACCCAGTGTGAGATGGAATGGGGCAAGAAAAAGAAAATAGTCCCTAGAATAATTTGAAGGAAAAAAGGAATCTCTCTCATTTCCATCCTCACATCAAATCTCTAATAAACTAAGGGAAAAAAGGATTTAGTGAGCTGAACCACCAAGACATCATGCCCAGAAATATCAAACTATTGTTTGCTGCAGATTTAGTAATGCCAATATGTGAGTTCAGTATAAAAATGAGTCTTTGAAACCTCAAAAATTTCTCTTTATGAATCCCTAAATATCACAGTGGTCTTCCCAGTATATACTAAAAACATTATGGAACAACAATAAATGTATCTGTGAATATGATTAATCATAGAAGATGCTTAAATGGATCATTATTCACACAATTGGATGGTCTGAAAATCCAGAAAAATACAGTTTGTCAATATAGAGTAAGTAACTTGTTTCTTCATAGTCCCTGCACTCTAAGTTTTACAATTGGAATCTAAATTACATGTTTTGTAAGAAAATTGATCTCAGTGTGTGCATTATCTAGAGCAATATTTTTTCAGATTTGGCAACTGTAGGATGCATGAACACGCTGACTGAGGAATTTTAAGATGGGTGGAACTGAAGTCTACATATCTTAAAGTTTCCATGTTTGAAATATACAATTCCAGTGCATCATTTTTGACATCTGCAGTGATGCCCTATTCATGTTCAGATCTGGTAAAAGGCTAAGAAACTTTGTCCAATAATGGTTTGTAAACTCCATATAGATCTCTTAAGTCAGAACTGTTTTATTAGTTTTAAATAGCAATGTTTCCAAGCCTCTTCCATCCTCTACATATTCTGGAAGTCTTGTGATATCTACCCATTTGGTATATTTTGAAAATCAGGATTCAGTTAGGACAGATTTGGAAAAAATGCAGTGGATCTGTGGAATATTCTACATTGTTCATCAATTATCTGTTGTTACACATCTTGAACATTGTAATGCCATGGAAATGTAAGATGCTAAAAATATCTAGATACTTACTGGAGTGATTGAATGTATGTACAGTATGTAAGAATGCCCACATGTATGTACTGAATTTTTGTTCTAGTTGTCAATGGTAGTTAAGATAGCTAAAAAGTAATGTAATTTTTTTTAAAAAAAACATAGTTAAAACCCCCATCGGTAAAATAATTCATATTGAACTACTTAAACCTGATCTAGCAACCGGTTTTCTCATTGATGATAAAATTATTTTACCCACCGGCAGAAGGAAATCAATATAAACTCCACTAAAAGTCTTTGACATTCAGATAGTACAGTATACAAGCTTAATAAATTATTATTATCTGCCAGTTCTTCAGTTGGTGTTGGCCTTTAGTTGCATTGAGTTCTTCCCAAGAAAGTAGGTTGTCACAATATATCAGCATAGTATATGTGCAGATCCAAGCAAGGTGGCCTTTTGCAAATGACAGATGGAAATGTTGTCAATGCACAGAATTTTCTAAGTGCCATCCAAGATTTTTTTTTATTTTTTATTTTTGGTATATATCTAATATGTTCATAAACACTGGGACCACCGTGCCTGGTTTTGCCATAATCTTTCAACTTTGGTTTTCAGATCTTGGATACTTTATGATTTTCTCCAGTTCTTTGTCTTCTGTGCTAGTATCCCCTGGTTCTACTACGTCAATTATCAATACTTCTTTCTTTCCTTCTAAGTATTAAATCTGGTGTGTTATGGGCCAAGACTTTATAAATTTGCATTTGAAAATCCAACATTTATTTTCATTATTCTATTATCTCTGGACAAGGAATTCTATGACCCAAGAGTTCCCAGTGACCGAAAACAAATAAGAAACAAAACAGAGCATCCAAAATCTTTGCATGAAACATGAGTGCAGGTCAGTAACTGGTTTCCTGTGTTCCAGGTTAGGATCCAGTGTCCAATTCACCTGCAGTGAAGGTTATGATTTGCAAGGCTCCAAAAGCATCACCTGTAAGAAGCTGAGTGGAATGATAGCTGCCTGGAGTGACCAGAGACCAGTGTGTCGAGGTAAGATAAATGCTGCCAAAGATTACAAATGAGGCAGGAAACTGAGTTCAATTATCCCCTTTTGTAGTGGAGGATCATTCTAGGAAATAATACTCATCTAATAGTGATTGTTTTATCTGGAGATCATCTACTATTTAGTGGCTTGGTGGGTCATAAATTTATTACAGGTTTGTTATAAGCTGGTTGTAATAATTTATACCTGTTTATTCTTCTAAAGACTTGTGAATTGACATTTACATCTACATTTCTCCTCCTAAATGCATGCCCTTATTGTGCAGCTGGCAAGAGATGGATGCAACCTTGCATTCCCCAGCTCTCCAAAACTTTCTCCAAATTATATGTATGGTCTGTATGTATATCTATATCTACCGTATTTTCCGGCGTATAAGACGACTTGCCATATAAGATGACCCCGACTTTGGAGACGATTTGCATGATTAGAAAGTCATCTTATATGTCAGAAAATACAGTATATACATATATATATATATATATATATATATATATATATATATATATATATATATATATAAAGTTTGGATTGCTAACAAAGAATTAAGGGAGAATGGAATAACTATTTCGAGCTAATTAGCTCTCATCAGCCAAACATACCCTTCTGAGATTCGAACCTGGGCTGCTTGCACTTTAGGCAGCTGTGTTAACCTCTAGGCCACAGGATCTTTCTCACTTTGTCAGCTGTATATATGAGAGAGAGAGAGAGAGAGAGAGAGAGAGAGAGAGAGAGAGAGAGAGAGAGAGAGAGAGAGATACACAATGACTTGAAGGCACCACAAAGGCACTCTAAATTCATTACAATAATATGTTCTATGATGCCTCTGCATGCCAGGACAAATTCTGAGTTTATAAGGACCTCACCAACATTTATATAATCACACTCACCACGGATCACTGGAAGTAAATCAGTTGTCCAACATGGTTTCGATCTTTGATGTTTTATGATGTATATTTCTTAGGTTCTCTTTTCACCTGCTATTCAGTCCTTGCTTTATGTCAGTCTTCTCCAACTGAATGTACTCCATGAAGAGAATTATGTAGCTGGAAGGGACATTTAGGCTGTTGAATGCAGGTCTCTGCTAAGGGCAGAAAGCCAAATTAAGGAAGTTTCAGAATTGGTAGTATAAGGCTCCCCATCCCTCAAGAAGTAGAGCAACCATAGTCATTTGGAAGATGATGAGATTAGTAGTGTGCTATATCTTCTGCATCCTTCCTGAGATCAGAAAGACACCTGGTGAATCTTCCAAGCTCAGTTCTTTGTTGTTTAACATATGTAGGCAAAATCTTGCAAGACTGAGGACTCTACTATGCTCCTCTACAATATTCTCAGTGAACTATTAGGGAGTGGCTCTCTTTGCCCTCTTTGTCTTACATGTGATATATGGGCTGAGTTGCCTCTGGATGCATCCCCTCCCTCCAGGGATCCCTTACTGCATTTCCTCACAGAAGGGACCTTCCTTTATCCTCTGAAAAATAATGACAGGGGAGAGGGAAAGCACTTTCAGACTTGCAAAATTGTTATTAGCCCTTCAAGGACAGGGGGGGGAAACCCCAAGAGCATTAATACCACTTGTATTGTAGGGCTGCAGTAACAAGGTTTTATTTATTAAATTATTTAATTCATTTGGCTGCCCAGTTCACACATAGATGACTATTATATATATATAATAAAATTTGGATTGCTAACAAAGAATTAAGGGAGAATGGGATAGCTATTTCGAGTTCCTTAACTCTCTTCAGCCACACTTACCCTTCTGAGATTCGAGCCTGGGCTGTGTGCATGTTAGGCAGCTGTATTAACCTCTAGGCCACAGGCTCCTTCTCACTTTGTCAGCTGTATCAGGGAGGGAAGATATATATATTGCAAACCTTGCAAATCTGAAAGCATTTCTCCTCTACTTTATTTATTGAGCTGAGGTGGCGCAGCAGTTAGAGAGCAGTACTGCAGGCCAGTTTAGCTGACTGTGTTCAGCAGGTCAGCGGTTCAAATCTCACCGGCTCAAGGTTGACTCAGCCTTCCATCCTTCCGAGGTAGGTAAAATGAGGACCCAGATTGTTGGGGGCAATGTAAATATATATATATACATTGCTTACTGGTGTACACCGCTTAGAGAGTGCTTGCACTTAAAACGGTATATAAGTCTCATAAATAAATAAATAAATAAATAAATTTTTACTTTTCAAAAAAAAAAAAAAGAGAGAGAGAGAGAGTCTCTTCTGAAGTGCTTCCCATGCCCATTTGTTCTGTGAACTGTGATGTCTCTTGTCTGACCATTGTCTGGGCTGCGACTCTTCCTCCGGTCTTCCAAGGTTGTTCTCACAGTCCATTGTGCTTATTAGGGAAGACTGCTCCATACAGTTCTGGCTAGCTAGTCTTTTGTTCTGACAGAATACAAAGCCATTTTCTGTTCCTATTCAGCCTGTTTTCTTCCAAAATCTCATTTTCTCTGTTTCAGTCAAAATCTCTTATACAAAAGCTGCCATCTCTATACTCTGTAGGAAAACTAGGCTTAATTTGCCTGCCTCCCATAAAATATTTATTATGTTAAGATTTGATTAGGTCTTCAGATAAAATTTTGTACAATGTAGGGACACTCTAAAGCAGTTGAACAGTTAAACCTGTTTCGTAACCAGACCTAAACCTCTACATTCAATGCTTATTGTTAAAGAGATTTCACTTTATTTTTTCAAGAAGAAGAAGGAGTGAAATTTCTTGCTTCATGGTGTAAGGGTCAAAGACCAATGATCTACCACCCCAAGGGGCTTCTTGAAAGGGTCTCCTTAAGGTTCAGGGCATTCTGCAGGCTACTCTTACAGCAAGACAACTGACTTCATGTGAAAAGCTTATTCTGCAATCTCATGAGCTGAATCAGTACTGATTTGAGTATGGAGAATACTCAGCATCCCTAGGAAAAATGTTCAGGGAAAATGAGCTCTTTTGAAAGAAAAGTAGAACTTTTGGGGGGGGGGATGATTTAATGCCCACCCAGTGGTGCTCTTCCTCCTGTCTGAGGTTTTCATGTTGTGAGCATTTCTGTTGAGGACTGGCAGCAGGGGTGGGGTGTGGGGGTGTTTGGTTTTTATTCCCCCGTCTGCTGGGTGATTGCAGCAGGTTTTGGTGACTTCACATGACCCTGGGACACTATGACTGTCATAAATATGAATCAGTTGCCAAGCATCTGAATGTAAATCACAAGACCTTGGAGATGCTGCAACATTCCAGCTGATCAGCGCTTCTTCAGGATCAGTGCTACTTTCCAGCTGATTGGTGCTTCTTCTGGGCTCAACAGAAGCACCAGGATCAGCGCCGAGGTCCAGCTGGAGCCTGGCACTGATCCTGGCGCTTCCACTGAGCCCTGACAGCCCTGCAGCTCCAGCCGTCTCTCGCTCAGGCTTGCACAGTGCTGCCATCGGTTCAGCTCATTCCCCTCCCCTGCTACCCCTTTTCTAGGATGGTCGCGTACCACCTGCCAGGTGCCAATGTACCACCGGTGGTACCCGTACCGCTGGTTGAAAAGCCCTGCTCTATGCATTACCCAGATATCTGTTCAGTGAGGCTTAGTCCTAAGGACATAGATGTAGGATTGAATTCGTGCACCAGAGAGAAGCAAAATAAAAGCATCCACATCTCTATAGATTACTTTTCCCCATCTATAAAAATTGCTTTCATGAAATAAATTTCACTTTGAACATTTTGTTTTCTATTTTTTTTTTTAGCTTCATTACCCAACTACCTCTAGGTTTTGTGGCTATTCTCTTCACAGTTTTTTTTTTAAAAAAAATCTAGATTTTGAGCAGTACGTGGAGATCAGAATTCTTGAGGGCTCCATCAATGTGGTTAATAGATGCATTTGGCTTCATGATCATATGTTTTATGTAATATCTCTTTCTCTTGCACACCAAGACAGACCTTTCAATCATCCTACAACTTGATTGAAAGAAATGGTAAAATAAAGAAATATACCCCCTTCCACACTGGTTCATTTTCCAGGCCCGTAAAGAAAAGGAACGTTGCAAACAAAGGTTCCACCCACAAATAGATTTCCTGTTTCTTCTTTTTTTTCCCCCAACTCCACAGCTAGAATGTGTGATACATACCTCCGAGGGCCCAGTGGTGTTATCACATCTCCTAATTATCCTGTCCAGTATGATAACAACGCATACTGCGTGTGGGTGATCACAGCAGTCAATCCAGCCAAGGTAGGTCTTCTGGATGCGTTATTGGGCAACTAAGCGTTGGCTCTTGTCTGAAAAGGAAATTAATCATGGGAACAGAGGATCATCTTCCAAAACAATAGGTCTTTGCAGGGAATTCCATTAAGCAGGGTTTTCAATTTTGTACAAAACAATGTAAACCAATGTTTCTTAACCTTGGAAACTTCAAGATGTGTGGACTTCAATTCCCAGAATTTTCAAGCCTGTTGAGATATGGTGCCTATAGAGGCGGAAGTGGTGTGAAGGGGCAGTTTTTTTTCCAAAGAGGAAGCACATTCCAAGGAGGGAGCTGAGACAAAACTGGCACAGTCTGGAGCTGGATAGTGGAAGAGTTAATATAGCTAGAATCACCTAGGTTATATTTGTTGGGTGTGAGTAATAAGGGTTTATTCTGGCAAGATTCTGTCTATTGCAGGGTTGTCAAACTCAATTTCACCGAGGGCCGCATCAGCATTGCAGTTGCCCTGGGGGGGTGGGGGGGGTGGCCAGGGTGGGTGCGGCCTACTGGGTGGGCATGGATGGAGTGGGTGTGTCCTACTGGGTGGGCGTGGCCAGCTCTACATCGTTCACATCAAGGGTGCCTGTGGGGCCCTGGGCAGGAGTGGGACAGATCTGAGGGTCTCTGGCAGAAGGCGGTGGGACCGGGGCAAGTGCCAAGGCATGGTCCATTTCTTCGTTCCTCACAAAGGGTGACACCTCCCCAGCATGCACCCAGGGGGCGGGGCCGACACACCAGGGGCTGGTTCCTCGCTGTTTCTGGATGGCCTTGTGGAGCTAAGACTGAATGCATTTCAGCACAGATGGCCACCACAAAATTGTACATTGGCTCCTGGCCAGCCTGGGCCAGGGCCAAGGCAGCGGGGGCCGTTCCCTCACTGTTTCCAGGATGGCTTCGCAGGAGACATGAAACCACTTTGAGGGCCACATCCGGCCCCCGGGCCTTGTGTTTGACATGTCTGGTCTATTGTGTGTAATCAAATAAAGAACTGAATTCTGATTTGATTGCTCTACATCAGGCATATCAAACTGCCAGCCTGTGGGCCTGATGTGTCACACCAAAACCACACCCATACCATTGTCAGCAGTGGGGAAAAAGTTGTGATATGTTGCACTACATCACATGACGTTGCAGGTTTGACATGCCTGCTCTACATCATTCTTTGGCTAGGGCCGACACAGTCAGCATACTGGCTGGGGAATTCTAGGAGTTGAAGTCCACATTCTTAAAGCTGGAGAAACACTGATACAGACGAACAAGTCAACACATAGCTGGGATTTGAGTGGTGGAATTGGAATTAGAGCAAAGAAAGAAAGTGTAATTGTTTATCAGACTATATTTGATTATTGACCATCTGTTCAGTCTAGCAGCATTTATGCAAAATCTTATTGGCGGACAGATATGTAGCAGTCTGCTTACTCAGTTTTTTTTTAAAAAAAGATTCTGAGCAATTTAAGCAATAATGCAATAGTCTTCTTTTCCTGTTTCAATTCATTCTGTTATTTCTAATTGAAATGCCCTTGCATTACCTGTCAGGTATTTGGGGATATTAATTTACAAATAATATGGTTCTAACACTTGTTCATGCTTTAAAATCTTTGCATTCATTAATTATACAGTTTTATTTCATTATTCTGTGGCTGATATAATGTAATCGGAACATAATTTCATCAGAGAGAATAGCAAACATTTGCATCACAACTGCTTATTTCTTTAGAAGAGTCTAAAAATATGCTGTTTTTTCCAAATTGCTTTCTGCTTTTCACTCCTTAACACACACCCTCATTCCCAGAATAAATTTATCTTTTTTTTCTCCCAGTAGCTAATATAGGGAAGCAAAACATTTGAAGAAGAACATGATTTATTTAGGGTGTAGGACAGGATCATACTCAGTAGAAAGTGACATGTTGGGAATCATCCAGCCAGACAGGCTTCAAGTGCAGAATTAGCCTTGAGTCCTTGTGCAGCTACAAAGTTCCAAAACTGATTGCCCTTTAGCTCTATAGAACCTTACCTATCTGTTCCCAGGCTAAAGCTGATAGTCTGCAGAGATTCCTGTGTAATAAGCAGAATATAATAAACTGGTATGTTTAAACCTTACATGTTTAAACCTGCCTAAGCAGGGGGTTGGGCTAGATGATCTCCAAAGTACCTTCCAACTTTGTTGTTGTTGTTTTTGTATTATTATTATTATTATTATTATTATTATTATTATTATTATTATTATTATTATTATTATTATGGATCATCGCACAATCAGCCACATGTTCAGACTGGATTTGGCATTTTGTCTACCTATCGAGTCCTTAACCAGGACCTGGGATAGGCAGATGTGGATGTTTGATGGTATTACAGATTATTATTATTATTATCGATCATCGCACAGTCAGATGTTCAGACTGGATTTGGCATTTTGTCTACCATCGAGTCCTTACCCAGGACCTGGGATAGGCAGATGTGGATGTTTGATGGTATTACAGATATCGTCGCAGGATGGTTCCTAGTAATTTGGCATTTTGTGCCTACCTGGGATTGCCGACTATTGGTGCTTGCTTTTGCCACAGTCTTTCTATTTCTATTTGTAGGTCTTTGTATTTTGTTATCTTCTCCAGTTCTTTCTCTTCTATTCTGCTATCTGGCCACGCTATCCAGACTTTTTTGGACAATTGATATGTTGCATGAATTCTGAAGTCCCAGAGCAGTCATTTTCTATGACTTTCTCTATTTTATGATCCCACCAGTTTTTGCTTACAGGCAAATGATATTTTTTGCAGATCTTCCAATGCACCATTGTTGCTACTTTGTCATGCCGCTGCTTGTAATCAGTCTGTGCAATCTTCTTGCAACAGCTTACCAAGTGGTCCACTGTTTCTTCAGCTTCTTTGCATAGGCGGCACTTACTGTCTGTTGCTGTCTTCTCAATTTTGACTTTGTATGCATTTGTCCTTAAGGCTTGGTCTTGTGCAGCCAGAATTAGTCCCTCGGTCTCTTTCTTCAATTTTCCTGCTCTTAGCCATTGCCAGGTTTTATTGTTATCTGCTTTCCCAGCTATTTTTTTCATGTATGGCCATGTAGTGCTTTGTCTTCCCATGCCTCTATTCTGTTCTTCATTTGGTCTTTCTTGTAGGCCAGTTTGGTCTCTCCAGTAGTTAGTAAGCCTTCCTGATATACTAATTTCAGTGCATCTTCATCATTGTTCTTCAGATATTCTTCCAAAGCCATTTTTTCTTCTTCAACCATCTGATGTACTTGTAGCATTCCACGCCCACCTATTTGCCTTGGTAGATAAAGTCTATCAATGTCACTGCGTGGATGAAGGGCATGATTCATTGTCATTATTTTTCTGGTCTGCCTATCCATTGCTTTTAGTTCTGCTTGAGTCCAGTCCACTATTCCAGCTGTGTACCTAATGACTGGGATTGCCCAGGTGTTGATTGCCGTTATGGTATTTCCTCCATTGAGTTTGGACTTTAAGATCTTCTTCACTCTCTTGATGTATTCACCTCTAATCTTTTTCTTGACTTCAGTGTGCTTGATATTGTCAGCTTGAAGGATACCCAAGTATTATTATTATTATTATTATTTCTCATTACTTGTGCCTGACAAGACCTGCTCATAACTGGGCCTCTTCATCTATCCCAAGTAGTTTACTGGCAACCTTCTTTAAAAGCAGTAGCTGCATCAACTTCACAACTGTTTAGCAAAAAACCCACACACACACACCTTTTTTGGGGGGGGTATAGATTTCATTAGTTTTTATGTGGTTAGGAATAATGTGGGATCGGGGTTGGGGTTGGGATTTAGGTTAAGGTTAGGATTAAGGTTAGGGTTGGGGTTGGGGTTTTTCCAAGTAACATTCTCAATATTTAGCAAACAATGTAATCTCTGGGTTCATGTATTTTACCCATTTTAAAGCGGCTGACCTAGAAACAGGTTTGTGGAAAGGGTTTAACTAATGCCAGGTTGGTTTCCTTAGCATCTTAGAATTCTTAAGATACATTCATAATAGGATCACTTGATAAAGGCATTTTTACTTCCCCAGTTTTTCTGTTCTCTTGCCTTGTCCCCCTCTTGAATAAATCTCCTTACGTGACTGTTGCATTCCGTAGTCCAGGGGTAGGCAATCTTGGCTCCTTTATGACTTGTGGACTTCAACTCCCAGAATTCCTGACCCAGCCAAGCTAGTCAGGAATTCTGGGAGTTGAAGTCCACAAGTCATAAAAGAGCCAAGGTTGCCTACCTCTGCCCTAGTCCATCATACTTTACTCCCCTCCTTTCTTGTCTGGCCTACTTTGCAGAGCTAACCTTAATCTTGCAAGTCTGAAAGTATCCCTTTTCTTTTTACTCTCCGAAAACTAGGGAAGGTCTCTTCTGAAATGCTTCCCATGCCCCTTCTGCATGCATAGACTGATGAGATTCTTTGGCATGATGGTTGCTTAGCCTGGGTCCCTTCCTCCAGTCCCCCGTGATCATTGCCACATATCATGACCAAACAGCCCAGCTCCGTGGCCTTCTCCTTCCATCCTCAAGTTTTCATACTCCGTCGTAGCGGTTTTCAGAACTAATCTGAAGTAAGACCAGGGGTGTCCATGGAGTAAGACAAAGAAAGCCAAGATGGTATCCATGATAGTGTAATCAAAGCCTGTGTTTTATGTGTGTTACATCTCTGGCTGAGATTGTGCCACCCGTCAGCTTCATCGCCAGATGAGAGAGATGGTGGTAAATCTGAGCAGACTCTGCTACCTCCCCAACATCTTCCCACCAACAACAACAAAAAAAAAATGGGCTGAAAGAGCTGGCATTGCTTACTCCATAATAATAAATATATGGTCCCTAACCATAAGAAAGGGAAGAAGCGCAGAAAAGAAAGGGAAGAAAAAAGAAAGCACATTGTTGGGGATTCTGGAATTCAAAGCTTTTCTGTTAAACTCCAAAACCAAGAAAGAAATCTTCCAAGCTGATTTCTTTATTATTCCACGCCTATAGA